TACTAAAATAGGCGCCAAGAAGAGTTCCTTATTTTAAGAAGAAAATTCTCTAAATAGTAATATTGATAAGAATATATACTGATTAGAATATAAAAAGCCTCTATAGAAAAACATATATATTTCACTATCGAAAAAGACTATATTCTTAAATTAAGAATATATTCTTAAATAAAGATATTAAATAAAGAATATATTCTTATTTTCAGAAGAATATCATCTACAATCTTTAAGAAGATTTTTTAAGTATAAAAATCTTCTACTTACAAGAATATAATTTTTTCGGTGTATGTACGCGTCATTACTCAATTTTTTTAACACACAAGTAAATTAAACACATACGAGCAAATAGTTTGTACGATATAATTCATCTCATCTGATGTTTTTTTGTTTTTTGTTTAAGCACCGTCTTATTTGTTCGATTTCTCTTTGTTATTTGCCACACGTCGTGATATTGTTTCCGCACACAGACTTGAAGAGCAATCAACAACAGCAGCAGCAGCAGCAGCAGCAGCAGCATCAGATCGAGGTGTCGAAGTCGTCGACCTCGTCCACCGACAGACCCGTTTATCTCGGGCACACTCCTCTCCTGGCAACCGGAAGTGTGCCCACCGTGAAAACGGAACCGCGAAGCTGCGACGGCATCGTCGGCCAGTCCTACTCGTCCTATTATCAGCATCCTCATCAGCTCGCCGCCGCCAGTGAGCATCAGCAACAGGGTTACTACGGCGCCCAGGAGGCGTCCTATCATCATCAGCATCACGTCACCACGGCGGCGAAATTACTCGCGTCCTCGTAATCGGGCTCACTCGAAATCGCCATTACTCGCGTCTCGAATCCGGACGCGCCGTCGGAGAGAAGACTTGTCTCTCTCTCTCGCTCTCTCGTAGATCTCGTCGGCGTGTGAGACTTGTGTGTTCAACGACGTTCGTGAAGAAAAATCTCACTGAAGATCTTCACATATTTTCGAACGAGTCGCAATCACATCACATTCTGGAAGAAGAGCGAGGAGAACAACGAAGAAGAAAATCTTCTCCAGGGTGAGACTAGTCAGATCAGCGCAAATAATTATTTCAAAATTTCCGCGGACTAACTTTAGCGATTTAGGAGTTGGAAATACGCGTGTTTTTTTTGTTTTTTTTTTGCGAAGATCCAAGATAGAGTTAATTATTTCCGAAGAAAATAATTAATATCCGAGATGTGATCGCATTTGCAAGAAAAAAAAAAAAACAAAACTAACTCTTGAATATTTTTTTAAACGAACTTGGCAAGAGATGGAATCTCTCATCGACGTGTCTCGAAAGATTTCAAGTTTTTGACCGTTTTTTGTTAAGATACATGTTCGTAATCGTATCTCAATTCGTAGGAGAGAGAGTTGGATCTCTAGTCAATGACAGGGATTGTAAAAAAAAAAAAAAAATTTATGAAGAAGAACGACGCGCCAACGTGTTGGTTGATGGTTCGTTCGGCGATGATCGAAATCGCGAAATAAGAAACGGGAGAAGGGAAAAGTTACATATTATACATAAACTCTCTATTCGCACGAGACGCGATATATATTTGCATATACTTTTATATACAATAAAAAAAAAAAAAACCACGCGCCTTTTTTCGCGTCTCTCTATTCGAATATCCGTGTAAATAGCCGAATTAAACACGTGTATTAAAAAAAGATTTAATTTACTGCGATATATATTATATAGTGCGAGAGTATGCGCTTCTTGGTTTGAGAGAGAGGAAACGCGCGCGAAGATGAGAGAAAGAGGAAAATCCGGCGAGACTCGTGCGTGCAATTAATAGAAATGCGCGAGTTTTGCAATTTTAAGAAATGACGCGTCGCGAATGCGAAAAGAAGCGACGCCGTTGTTTACTTACAGAAAATTGAAATTTTCCTCACCCACCAAACGCCGATTATTCAGCGCACTGTACGTTTTTTTTGTTTTTTGTTTTTTTATTACACACAGCGAACGCTGCACGCACGCAGAATAAAATTGTAAATAATCCCCGTGGCAACATTAGAAATAGATCTCATTTGTTTTCGCGGCGACTTTATTGTTTTCGTCGAGATGTTCCAAAAGAAATGTCGGGTTTTCGGATAGCGTCAATTGTTTTTCCAATACTTGATTCGCGTTTTATTGACAGAAAGAACTTGGTTCGCGCGAAAAAAAAAATTTACGCTCGCTAAATCTTCGATCGAAACAAATTCGACATTTATTGCGGACCAACTCAATATTTAAAAAAAATATTTATAAAACATGTACGTGTATATTGCGATATTGCTGGACAAAAAAGACAATGGTGTGCTAAATCCGAAAAATGTGTGTATGTACTTGAATCACTTTTGAACCATTTTTGTCAAATGGCCGAAAATTTTGTTACTGTGTACGTAAATAAAATCGTAAAGAGCGCAATAGAGACGCGCAGAGTTTTTTTAAGTCGCTAAAGTAAAGCCGAGGGGGGCGCGATAGTATTATCAGATCGTAACAGTATAACATACACACACACACACACACCAACACGTGCGCGCGCACGAATATGACTGGACTTCACTTCGGAAGGAAGTGTCTCTAAAGAGCCATTCTTATAATTTATTGATTCAAGGCTTGAAGAGCCGTCACGATTCTTTTCCCCGACGACCGTACGTTTAGTTAATCTTTGTGTATAGTTCCTGTAATAACTACTTTTTATTTGTATAAACTACTTTTATCTGTCTCGATTTTTTATTTGTATAAAAACTACTTTTATTTGTGTCATATATAATGCGCAATAAATAATTTTACCCTCACTTAAGTGAAAACAAATTGTATTTTTTGTTTGTTGAAGAGAAAAATGAATGTGTTTTTTGAAAATGATTTGGGCAAAACTCTAATAATAAATAGAATATTAATCAATTGTATATTAACATATAAAAACACAAACAGTCATATATATATATATACATAATACCCATGCGCTCTTATAGTTTTATGGCAACCATAAAATATATGGGATAATTAAAAATTAGATACTATTTTCTCTTTAACTCCTCGAACTCAAATAAATTATTAAAGTGACCTACGTGTCTCATTGATGTACATAAACGATTATATATATATATATATTTTTTTTTTTTTCCAAAATTTGGAAATCAACTTCGGACTACTTCGCGCGATAACGACGTGTGTGTGTACACGTAAACACACTTTATCGAAGAGAGTCGATGTGTTTCTGCCATCACACACCGAGTTTCAAACTGTGACGTTGTTTTGTTGTCGATCCAAACGGGACATGTACATCAAAGCATAATAAGAAATCGGGCTCTTTATTTAGTGTAATTTTTTGTTTTTATATTACCCGCACACTTTAAACAAACTATTGTAAACCAAACGTGAGAGATCTCTTTTTAAATAAAAAAAAAAAAAAAAAAAAAAAGAAATTGTAACGTGCTTTTCTTCTTTACCTCCGAGTGAAATTTTCGCCGAACAAATTGTCGCCTGGCCTGTACTTTTGTTACGCCGAGGGAATCGAACAATGCCGTCCAAGGCATCGTCTATCGAGAAATAATTTCACGATCGAACAATGGTCGCGCTGCTCTCGACCAGTCTACCTCAAATATTATCCTTCCGCGTTCTGACATTCGAAGTGACATGTCGTACAACTAACCCGCGCGCGGTTCTCGTTTCCACCACCATCGAGAGAGTTACAAACCTCCCTCAACAAAACAGCGGTGGTGTTTCGCGTCGCGACAGAGTTTGTCCTCGCTCGCGAGCCCGATCGGACACCTTGAATCACGTCGCGCAATTCCGTTATTTTCTTGGTTTTATTTTATTTTTTTTTTTTTTTTATATATATATAGAGACGCAATCAAACCTGCAATCTCTCAATTCGATCGTGCGTTCACGTTTCCGTGCGGTGAAATATTTAAAAGATGGGTAATTATGTACATATCTCATATAAATTTTTTTTCAAGTTTACACCTCACCTGATTGCTCACGCACGCGTAACACGTAACAACACAAGTAACTGTGTCTCCCAAGAGTACAGTTAATTGTTAATGATTTTAATCTTTGATTTTGGTGACTGTCTTGAAACTCTCTTAGTTGATAAGCAACGTATCGTGACAGGGAGAACTCTGCCCACACCGGTGTCCTGCAAAGTATGCGGCGATCGATCTTACGGAAAACATTACGGTGTTTATTGTTGCGACGGCTGCTCGTGTTTCTTCAAGAGATCCGTGCGTCGAGGCGCTCTCTTCACCTGCACAAGTTTGTAGAGATTTACGATTATACGATAGTAATACAAACCCTAGTTGTGTGTGTGCATATGACAACGAGAATAACACTTAATCGGGTTTATGATATATCCGCAGATAGCGACGGATCTTGCACCGTTGACAAAGTCAGAAGAAACTGGTGCGCGCATTGCCGCCTAAAAAAATGTTTCTCCGTTGGCATGAATACGGCAGGTAAGCTATTTAGAGACTTTGAACATTGGGAAGAACGTGTTAAAAACGTGTTAAAAAAATATTTGTACTAAAAACATTTTTGTTACTTTTCCTACGAGTCCGATAAAAATATTATCATTATTTTCAATCGAGTAAAGATATTAAATTAAATTACGTGTGTAAAAAGTTATTAAGTGGAAAATTAAATTATATATACAAAATCACACAATACGCGCGATATATTCTTATACGAAATCACTGCCGACAAGTAGGCGCGTGACAAGGTCGAAGCATAGGTGCTAAACGAACGCAACGAGATGCAAACAACGGCGTGTGTGTTAGACACACGTGTTTCTTCACCCTTAACGTTAACTCGGGGGAGTTAATTGACAGTGTGAACCTGCGCCAAGAACAGTCGGACATGTCGAGATTTAATGTTTATTTTATGTTCTCGCACCGCTGTAAAAAGAACACAATTTGATTATTACGTTAGCGTTACGTACGAAAAAATTGTATTCTTGTTTTGAGGATATCCCACTTACTTTAAATATATTTTATACTAAAATAGGCGCCAAGAAGAGTTTCTTATTTTAAGAGGAAAATCCTCTAAATAGTAATATTGATAAGAATATATACTGATTAGAATATAAAAAGCCTCTATAGAAAAACATATATATATCTCACTATCGCGGAAAAGACTATATTCTTAAATTAAGAATATATTCTTAAATAAAGAATATATTCTTAAATAAAGAATATATTCTTAATTTCAGAAGAATATCATCTAAAATCTTTAAGAAGAATTTTTAAGTATAAAATCTTCTACTTACAAGAATATACTTTTTCGGTGTAACAATTCGCGAAGGACAACTTTAGTGAGAATTACAAAAAAGCTTTACATATTTTTTTTTTTTTTTTAATGATATAGAAATCACATGTTTTATAAATTAATCGAATTTAATAATATAGATATGAAATTATTGAAAATGTATATATCTTACGTAATATTCATACACCGAAAAAATTATATTCTCGTAAGTAGAAGATTTTATACTTAAAAAATCTTCTTAGAGATTCTAGATGATATTCTTCTGAAATTAAGAATATATTCTTAATTTAAGAATATAGTCTTTTTCGATAGTGAGATATATATGTTTTTCTATAGAGGCTTTTTATATTCTAATCAGTATATATTCTTATCAATATTACTATTTAGAGGATTTTNCTCTTAAAATAAGAAACTCTTCTTGGCGCCTATTTTAGTATAAAATATACTTAAAGTAAGTGGGATATCTCCTCAAAACAAGAATACAATTTTTTCGGTGTATTTAAAATAGACGCGCGAGCGAGATGGATCACTAAATCAGTCGCGAGACGCGCAATACAAATTTATTTTTCATAGATACGGTCTTGTGTAATTTTTGTGATGACGGCCGTTGTCAGTTGAACGTGTCAGTTGAAACGACGTTTCGAGCGTCAACTCTCTGGTGATCAGGGCTTGAGTACACAAAGCTTACCCTCTGATCGGAAAGTTAAAGCTGCCCCTAGAATTTGTTTGCCCACGTCTATTGTCTTCGTATTGATTATGACAAAAAAAAAAAAAGAAAACCGCGAATGTAAGACAATATACAGTTACGTGACGAGATATGAAAATATAAAAAACGAAATGTAAATAAAAAAATGAATTGTCAGTTGTGCGAGAATACGCTGCAAAGAAGAATTACGTACGAAATTATATAAAAACAGATGCAAAATAACAAGAAAATATAAAATAATATATCAAATAATTTTCTGTTATGTTTTCAATTTTTCTTTCCTCATACGAGACATTTGTTTTGTTGAATTTTCGCAGCGGTGCAGGAAGAACGAGGACCGCGCATTCGACGTAACGCGCCCCCAAATCCGATTAGTTCCGGCATCGCGTGGAAGTCCAGAATCAATTCGTCGACATTTTGCGCACGTTTTAACAGCTCCGAGATATATTTTCCCTTTAAGAATCACGCGCTAAACAATATCCTAATGATGAAGACACTGCACCAATCGGAAACAAGGGAAAACATCTTTTTCCCCATTATGACGCATCACATACAGACGCCAAGAATCATTTCGTCCGGTAATTATCTCTTTTTTAACTCATTATTTAATCTCATCATTAACTCTCGCAGAAGACGAGATTGTAAGATTTTTTTGTTTTGAAGGCGCGGCTGTGCAGTACGAAATATCCGCGCAAATATTTCTGGCCGCCGTTCGGAGCGCGCGTCGTCATCGTGATTTCTCGTTGCTGAACGTGGACGAGCAAAATACAATTCTGCATCGCGGATGGTCGGCGCTTTTTGTTTTTCACGCGGCGACCTGGCCGATCGACTTGATGAGTTTGCGAAAGGACGGTGTGGCGACGAGTAACGACGTATCGGTTTGTCTGACAACGGCACGCACCGCGATCGCGAAGCTGCAACTGGACGATGTCGAGTTGAGCAGTTTGGCCACGTTCGTGCTGTGTCGACCTGGTAAATAAAAAATTAAATAAAAAAAAAAAAAAAAATCGGATCTACGTAAAAAGAAATCAAACATAATTGCGACAATCACGAGCGTTGAATTTATTCGCGAGAAAAACAAAAACGCAACACACACGCGTTATGTTACATTGCTGTAAAATTGCAGAAATCGCCAATACTACGGAAAGTTTTCACGCGATGTCTCAAGCGCGACACAACGCCATTGCGGTTCTAATACAACATCTTCAACAACGAGACGATCATCGCGACGACAAACTGGCCAAGATTCTGTTCGTTCTACCTGTTCTCACCGCGTGCTGTCCTCGAGAATTAGCCGGGGAATTGTTCGCGCCGATTATCGGCGACGCGAATCTGGAAAGAGTCATAGCGTCCGTGCAATAAATCTTTTGACGAAAGAAACCTTTCAACCGCACGAGAAAGTTTATGTTATGTTTTGTTATTTTATTTTACATATTTTACGCACTGCAAAGAGAACTTGTTTCATATGTATCACTTATTACACATGCATATATCAAAATAAATCGAGAAAACACTTTGGCAATCTGCTTAGCGCAGACGCGCACCACAGACATAATTTAATATGTGCACCACAGAAATAAATTTCAAGAAAATGTGAACAAAAATTTGCTGAGACACTCGAGAAAAAATGTTAAACGTGTAATCACATATGTGGGATTATACATGAGATTATATGTGAGTCCAGGTGTGGTTTTACGAGTAATATGATCATGTAAAAGAGATTTTATACATGTCGGATGTGATTTCATGTGATCATGTTCAAAAATCAAATCCGAAATTTGGCGCGATCTAATTTTAATCATATATTTCTATATAAATATATAGAAAATTGTGTATAAAATTATATAAAATCAAATCCGAAATTTGGCACGATCTGATATATATATATATGAGTCATATATCACTACATATATCAGTACATATATATATATATATCACTTATATATATATGTAATCTTATATGATATCATATATATGTTTCTATTTTTTCTCGAGCAGTTTTCATATTTTATGTGTGTGTGTGTGCGTGTGATGAATTTGTTATACATCATTGCAATACATAAAAACTAATATTAAGAAGCACAACTTAATTTTAAATTGCTATATATGTGTGTGATTTTAATTGTGACACTAGCATAAATTTTTTACTTGAGCCATCAAAAGTTCTCTCTTTCGTGCGATTTGTTTATTTGTTTTGTTTTAACTATTTACATTATATACGATAGTAAAACGACACATGTTGTTTAATAAATGTAAGTATCAAGTAATAATAAATAAATGCTTATACACATGAACAAAAAAAATTATAGAAGTACTTTCTTGCGTAACGACAGTTGCATTCATCCGATGCAAATTACCGTACCAGACGCGCCGAACAGGTAAGAAGAACGAACTTACATTTTTGTTTTCGATTCTCTCAAGAGAGATCTCAAACGATATCTTAAAATAATATTTTACGTTAAAGCAACATTTTATTTGTATCCCTGTGTGCGCAGAAGCTGAATGGAAAGCGGCAATACGCGAAAAACATTGCACGTATACTTCGTCGAAGTTAAAACTAAACGCAAAATCGCGTTTCGCGCGACTTGAACAGATAACTGTGTTCGAAATTACACCGTTTTTTTTTTTTTTTTTTTTTTTTTGAATAAACACGCACTTGTCTCACGAAGGTAAAACTGAGCCCCAACCGACGGTCGAATATTACGACTTGAACGGGACGCGATATCTTTTCTTCTCAGAGAGAACGACCCGGGACGAGGCGCGAGTGTTGTGCAACTATTGCAACGCGAAGCTCGCCATCTTGGACACCACGGAGAAAGCCGCGAATATTGCCGAGAAGATAGCGGATTCCAACATAGGTAATAATTCAGTGGATTGTTCCCGTTAAAAAAAAAAAACAAATTCTCACTCGTTCGTTTAATACGTGAATACATTTTTAATTTTTCTCCGCCGCGCGTTTCTTATCTCGATAAATTTTACATCGAGATTAGAAATGGATGAAGATTCGATTGACTGGGGGGATTCGACGTTTGGGAAACACCTGGTTGTGGACGCACGATCGCGCCGATCGGCAAAAACCAAACACCGAGATACCTCCGGAGCCGGATATCGAAAACCATCCCCCGTGGAGACCAGAAGAGCAACGCGACCGATGAAGAGAACTGTGTCTGGCGATAGATCGCCATTCGCATTCCCGCCCCAACTTCGTCGATCTCGACTGCCGTTCGCAGCGGCCGTTTATCTGCGAAAAGAGTAACGAGACGTTCTCCTCGAGAGACGATCTATTATTGTTTTCGAGAAACATATAATTTTCCGTACAATAGAATATAACGAAACATAATAAGTGATACACAAAATATTTTTTTTAACTTGGAAGAATTTTCAAATATTTCATTGTGAAAGTCAATTTCTGTCGACAGGGATCGAGGACGGGTTCGCGAAGCCGATACCGTCGAAATTGGTGCAAACGAAGCGACACACTTTTTTCCACGCGAGAGATTCACCTGGGAAGAAGTGCCGCGGTGTACTGTTGTCGTTTATCGGGTGCCAGATTAGCGATACTGAGAGACACACAACATCATCGAGATTCTCGCCTACGGTATGACGAAGGCGCGTCCCCGGGTAAAAAGAAACTGCGCGATTAATGATATTATTTTATCGAAGCTATATAAACCTCACGATGTTTATAGAGCCTATAAGAGCGTCATCGCATTACTCCGTAGATTGGTACGCACTTACTCACGAATGCGAGGATAAACGTTTTAGCTGTTGCTCGTAAACAATAATAATAACCACAAATCAGATTGAAATAAAGATAATAACAATAAACGTTTGTTGATTTCGCGGGACACTCGTAAACGAAACGTAAACCACGCGCTTTTCGATAATGAAAAAATTACACAAATCACGGAAAATTGCGCAATGTTAAGACACAAAGTGGTCGCGGACGAGATATAGTCAAAATTTTATTCGCACATACTACAAGCAAGTCTTTAAAAAATCTTCGTAAAAGAGACTTTTATATCTGAGTTTAGAGAAAATTTATTTTAATTGTTTTTTTTTTAGAAACCTAGCACAACACAGGCGCGCACGCTGTTGTTGGTTTTATTTAACGTGTTGTCAGCGAACACAACCTGTCACCGCGATGACAGATAGTATATACGTCTTATAAACCATATATAATACACATATGAGAAATGTCAGAAACAACGCATGAAAATCAAACTCAAAAAATAGTGAGAGAGAGAAGTGGAAAAACAACACGTGACTAAAGATATATTCTCTTTTTGTAAAAAAGAGAATATTATATATATTATATGTAATATTCTATATCTATATATAATACACATACATACGCATATATGTATGTATATATATATACCGTAATCACGTAACCGAAGTCGGTAACACCGCCGCGGTCGCGCGGCCGAGGTCAGTGACTCCACCGCAGTCACGCGACCGAAGTCATTGACCCCGCCGCGGTCGCGCGGCCGAGGTCATTGACCCTGCCGCGGTCACGCGACCGAGGTCAGTGACCTTACACGGTAGTATGTATATAATATATATAATATAAAGTATAACGTTATAAATATATAATAAATTATATGTATAATATATATTATTTAATATATTATTTATATCATATATATTATTTAATGTTATGTATTTAGTCATTCTTGAGATATTGCTCTATGAAAATTTCCTCACTTCTCAATCGTATAAATTTTGCTTTTAAGAGGCATTACCGTCTCGATATGTACGATATAAATCGAAAAACACATCCTAGAAACGTCTAATCAGCGTCGAGATAAAAGTTGCAACAATCATAACATCGAAAGAATCGATTGTGATTATTTATACACGCTGTTTCTGATAGGATTTTAATATATTTTTATTTCTCATTAATTTTCTCTAACTGCAATGTGTTAAACTTTTTTTTATCCAAGACTTCGAGGCCGTCTGGATCGGGGCGCGCTACACTTACGGTCAATGGGCGTGGATGTCCACGGGGGTATAAGCTTGGAATCCATCAAGGGCGACAACGGGTATCCACCGTGGATAGCCGGCAGATCCGAGAGGAACGACAAGTGTTTGCTCTTCGATCGGCACATGAAGAACACTCCGAGTTTTGTCGAGACGACGTGCGACGCGACTTCGTGTGCGAAGAATGTGCGTTTACTATTATTGCGCGTATTATTGTTTTTAATCATGATTATTCTTAAAGAATGTCAAGTATCTTCCCCCCCCCCCCCAGTTAAACGTGATCAACGCAATTCTAACGCTGACTTTGTAAACTCGCGCAAAGATTTACGTTCAGCGTCTTTCGCAAACTATGTCTATTTCCATTAAAGATACCGTTCGCGCAAAGATATATAATTCTCGTTTATGATTCCGCTGTAGATCCAGAAGACGAGACTGGCAACTGGCTGAACGAGCCGATAAAGTTCGCGTATAATAATAATATCTACATTATTTATCCGCTGGAAAAAAGCTGGCGGGAGAGCAACGACGTTCTGCAACGAGCGGGGTAGCGTGCTCTGCTTACGCGAACGACATAAACGTTACCAATCTGATCGTCGAAGCAATGGGCGATCATCCCAAAGGTATACCGTTCGGATATGGACCGTTTATTTTGAAAGTGGTGTAAGTCCATTTTCTTTTGTTTCGAGAAACTAGTTATACATAAAAAATTTACATTAAATTAAGCATGAATTACGTGATATCTCATTTTTTTTCAAAAATGGACTTACACCACTTTCAAAATAAACGGTCCATATATTGATAGAAAATACAAAAAAAAATTATCGTTATCGTATATTTCTTCTCGGAAATTTTCGCGTTCCACGGGAATAAAAGTCCGAGTAAACCGCGTTATTGATTTTTCTAAACGCACAAAGTGGAGAATTAAATTATTTCAAAAATTAATAATTATTCAGAACTATACTTATTGACACATTCTGTCTCGGTGCGTGCACGTACCTCGTTTTCTTGTAATCATGTCGCAGACATAACTCACCTCTGGATCGGAGGATCCATTTGGCCAAATCGAACGAGTGGACGCACAGCGGCCGCGGGATTGCTCGGCAAATGGACCCGTTTGGATTTCCGCCGTGGGCAAACTTGAGCGAGCATCTCTCGATTATTACACCGGTCGCGCGTCGACCTGTCTAAATTTGGATCGCAGCGATCACGTGAAACCGCATCTGTACGGCCTCGACAGCAAGCAAGCAAGTTCGTTTGCAAAATAAGTGAGAATGCGCGCGATTAATAATTTTGAACAAAGAGATTTGTATACATTTTTTTTTTGTTTTTTTTTTTTAAAGGGAAAGAAAGAAACAAAGCGTAAAAAAGAATTAAAAAAAAAAACATCTTTGCTTTAGCGTGTGACGTAACGCCACCTGTAAGGAACGGCAGCTGGACGTGCGCGGACACGCGAGACGCTGCGAATTACACCGCGACGAAGGATTTGTGATAATGGGCGTGAGAAATATATCCTGCGCGCATCGGGACGGTTGGAGCATCGTCTGAGAACTGGCTTGGAGGTTCCGCTTTGTCTCGGTAATCTTGGTGGAAAAATAAAAATAAAGATAAAAACTTTCAGCTCATCAACAAAAACATCGCGCTCGACGAAAACATCGCGTTTCGAAATATATTTTGTACATTTGTTTTTCACATATATTTCGTGTATTTCGCGCAACATCGAAAGCATTTCAAGACTCAAACATAATAAATTTTTTAGCATCGAGGGATTACACGAGACGTACACCGAAAAAATTATATTCTCGTAAGTAGAAGATTTTATACTTAAAAAATCTTCTTAAAGATTTTAGATGATATTCTTCTGAAATTAAGAATATATTCTCTTTATTTAAGAATATATTCTTAATTTAAGAATATAGTCTTTTTCGATAGTGAGATATATATGTTTTTCTATAGAGGCTTTTTATATTCTAATCAGTATATATTCTTATCAATATTACTATTTAGAGGATTTTCCTCTTAAAATAAGGAACTCTTCTTGGCGCCTATTTTAGTATAAAATATACTTAAAGTAAGTGGGATATCCTCAAAACAAGAATACAATTTTTTCGGTGTACGTGTATACATATATATACACCGAAAAAATTATATTCTTGTAAGTAGAAGATTTTATACTTAAAAAATCTTCTTAAAGATTTTAGATGATATTCTTCTGAAATTAAGAATATATTCTTAAATATAAAGAATATATTCTTAATTTAAGAATATAGTCTTTTTCGATAGTGAGATATATATATGTTTTTCTATAGAGGCTTTTTATATTCTAATCATACATATATTCTTATCAATATTACTATTTAGAGGATTTTCCTCTTAAAATAAGGAACTCTTCTTGGCGCCTATTTTAGTATAAAATATACTTAAAGTAAGTGGGATATCCTCAAAACAAGAATACAATTTTTTCGGTGTATGGTGAGATCGGTGGATCACGACCTGCGAACCAGCGCGGGTTATTACTTCATTCTGGATCACACCGCCGAGAAGATACAATCGTTATCGTTTGCGCTTTACGAAGAACATTCTGAATATTTTTCCGTAAGCACGTAAAAATGCGTTTTTTGTATTTCAAGAAACTCTTATCGCAGTTAAATTTTTTATCTCGCGTTAAAAATCACAATCGTTTTCAGGATAAATCACAATTTCAAAATGGGAATGCACCGCGCGACGATTTCGCCGATTCAATTGCCGTTCAATCAAAACCGACACGTGCGCCACATTAAACGCGATCAATTCTCTCGCGAGGAAATCGAACAGCGCGATGGACGGCCAAATAAATTCCTCCACTATCTCGCGCGAACACCTGTCGATGCGCGAGGGGAAAAAAAATTGTAATATGTAAGTACGACGGAGATAAGAGACAAAACTTGAAAATTGTAAACACGTATAGCTTGTTTTTCTTCTCTTTCGTAAAAATTAATCATCACACGCAATTTAACTTGTAATAATACGCGCGTTTTGTTTTTATATACAGTTGGCAGTCGCTATTATCGAAGGAAAACGCATATCTCGCTATTTAGAAATTCTCGCTTATATGGAGAGCGTCGGCAATCAAATAGTTGCGATTGGAAAATAACTGGGAAATTTTATTGGCACTGGCTTCCATCGGTTTCGACCGTCGCAAGAATCTTTACCTACTCGATACGATGGAATTCGACACCGTTATCAACGAATTGCGCAGTACGATACGATACAAATTTCTTCAGTCTCTTGAAGTATATAATAAACAGAACAAAGTATATAATAAAAAAAATTATAACCTCCTCTTCTCTGTAAAAAATAATTTTAATATTAATATTAATTCAACAAAAATAATTGAAGGAATAATTTTTGTTTTTTTTTTCAGATTTCAAAAAAGAAACTTTACACTGTAAGAAATTATTAATCGATTATTGATAAGAACGTTTCAAAATATGACAAACATCAATGTGTTTTGCAATTGTAGGTTCAAAGAAAACAAATATTCTCGACTGGTAGATTTGACTGAGTCTACGGATCAGAATCTGGAAAATAAGTCACTTAACACTACAGATGAAACTGTTGATGATCATCGGAATGATAAAAATTCGTCGTCTTCAAGGAAAGATCACAATTTAAAATCATCAGATGATGATAGTAAATGTAAATATTCTTTTGTGTTAAAAAAAATTAATAATTAAGAGAATTGTAGATATAAAATAAATTTCTTATATTTCAAATTTTATTTCAGATGCGCTCGATACGGATGCAGAAGTTCCTGAAACTACTTGAAATGTAGAATTCTTCTTTTTTCTTATCTCACGAAGTAAAAAGTTCCACTAACAATACATAAGCACAAATTTGTTTTTCTTTGGCACTTTATTGATGTAAATATAACAACTTATATGAAATGGTATGTACAGAATCTTATAATAATATGGCGTATCAAGTGATAAATATAAACAACCATCCTCCTGTGAAAAAGAACAATATATGTCACATATGAATATCTAGAAATTTTATTAGAAGTATCATTTCCTATTAAATAGATTTTTTATTATTGTACGAGAAATATAGGCACTTTATGGACGTTGAACAAGTATGAGATCAATTAGAGAATTACACCATATAAATTTTGTATCTTTTATGTAAAAACATATAAAATTCAAGAAGAGATACTAGAGCGAGTAATTTTTTTCATATAAATTGAGACATTATCTGCAATTGAGTCTGTGTTCAAGTTTTGTACAAATTAACTAAGACGTCCCTGTTGAACAATAAAAAGAAATACGTGAGAAATTTTAACACAATTAACACACAATAATAATTATAATTATTCTAATGAGGTTCCGTAGGCTGCTAACAATATATTATAGCAATTAAATGATAGTAATATTAATGAATAATTATTAATATTATAATAAATTAAAACAGTTAATATTAACTATAATAATGTATACAATATTTTCGGATACTATACTTCCTGGTGTATTATCATACGCGGATTCCAAACCGACACTCTCATCCAAGAAATATTGTATATGAAATGCCACTTGGTGTGTAGAATTTTACAAACTTAAATTACACATAATAACGATGATGTTAACTGTCCTCTACATTCTGTTTCTAGATATGCTAAATCTATTATCAAAAATCAATCACACAAATAAATATTATTGATAAAAAAAAGATATTTTTAGTTCTATCTTAAAAATATAAATATTTCTGATTGTTTATATGTAAACAAATTTTTTATTTCTAGAGCAAGAGCGTAATATGCAAAAGTATTAATATTTGTCGCGATATATATATATATATATATATATATAAAAATCTGAATAGAAATACAAATTTTCCAAGATTTATTGTGTAAAGAATATTTGTTTTTTTTTTTGTTAACTATATTAAATTCTTTTTAGACTATATAAAAAAAAAAAAGAGATAATATATGCGATAAAAAAGTTATCTTACTTACTTATTGCGTGCACTTCGAGACAAATATGGAAATATCAAAACTCTTCATACGCGTGCATATATGTATAAACAATATATGTATGTATAAAAAGTAATATATAAATGTACGACATATGAGAGATATTGTGATTATATATCAACACACAAACTGAGGTAAAATATAGCGTTCAAATCTGATTTCACAAGGAGTATTAGAAGAAAATTAATTTAATCATATTATATAATCATATTGTATATTCATATTATAATTTAATTAGAGTACTATATAAATTTAAATTATAAAAACAAAAAAATGATGCAGATCTTGCGCCGTACAGACAGAGACACTACTCTTGATCAGAATATTGCACTGTTTAATGCATTGATGATTTTTTTTTCTTTCTTTCTTTTTTTTTTTTTTTTTTTAATCACCTAAGGAAGTTTCCTTGTAAACTTCGATGTGTTGTTAACACGTAACATAATTTATGCATTAACACAAACAATCGAAGTTTGTAAAAGTATGCGATAATAATCTACCTTTTATCTAATCACGATCAGTAATATTTCTTCTTATACTTGCGATATCTCTCGACTCCTCCCGATTGCCTTCGTAATTGATTTATGAGCTTTGTTGGCACATACCACAGCTTATCGACATTATTAAGCAGAGTTTCCGTTACCTGACAACATATGGCGGCCATATTGACTTGGGCGGTCAGATCGGAACGGTCCCGGGGATAAACGTAGCGTGGCGGAAAAAGCGACGGTGCCACAATCATCGCCACGTTGTGGATCGACATTTTGTTGAACGACTGATTCTCAATGACCAGTTTCAAGAAATTCAACAGCGCCTCCAAAGTACACCGATGTTCAACGGGCAGCGAGAGCACCAGCAGATTCAGAGAGTACACCATGTTGTTGTAATTCTTCACACCTGCGCGAAAACAAAAAAAATTTCTTTAAAATCTCTGAGAGCGCGCACAGCGCATCGCGTTGCGCGAGCAATTTTCTAACCGTGACTGTGATAGAAAGCGTCGATCAGCTCGACAGTTAGAAGAGGCTGCGGCAAGTCTCGCAACAATCTCTTCAAAACTGCCGATAAATCGTGACACGGAGTGCGCTTGAATAACTTGTCCATCTCGTTTGGTTTGCAATAAAAATCTGTTTCCAGCTCCGTACAGATCATTTCCACCTACATAATTATCATCAATAAATAAATAAATCAATATGCGAGCAAGTATCTCGTACGTATATATATGTGAACAACGATAAAATTTTATATTTACTTTTTGCTTGTGACCTCCGACACGAAGGATACCCTCCTCTTTCACCCCGCGTTTCGTCAGTTCAGCGAGAATCTTTTGGAACACTAACGGTATATTATTTTCTTCGCTCGTTAACTGGCTATCCCTGAGCAGTAGCGTCGACAGAGAAACACCAAATAAATTTCCCGCTGCAAATATACACAACACACGTTGCAAGATAAATCACAGAGAACGAAAACGAAGAATAAATGATCTCATTACGTACTTTTTCGCCGCCGTTTATTAGGTTTTCGTCTTGTGAGCGGCAAATTGTACGTGTCAAAAATCGACGTCAGCTCAAGCCACAAGAGAGACTGCAACCTCGTAAGATCACGTTGCGATAATAATTCCACACCTTGCCGAGCATAATCGTCATCGGCCGTCAGACCGTCGGAGGACCAGACTTTAGATTCGGCCTCATTGGTTCTGCACATCTCCTCGAAACTGAGATGACCGTGAGACGATGTGCGACTTAGCGGACGAGCTATCAGATTTTCCTCTGCCGGTCTGGTTAGGCCGTATAAACTACTATGACTTCGGGTTACCGTGGCGTGACTTCCCGCAGTCCGACTAAAATAAATTAGAAACATTTTTTTTATGAAAGTAAAAATACATTCGAAAATATTATCTTGAACTTACCGAAGAGACGAGTCCTTCGGAACTGTCAATTTCCTAACGGATTCGGTATCTAAATGCACCGCATTTGCTACATCCTTAAGATCGCTGTTGTGCCTCTGAACGGGCCTGGCGATGTGAACTGTTCCCAGTCTGTGGTAGCTAGTCAGTTGAATTCCTTCTGTAATTCAATATGCAATATTGCAGAGATTTTGAAATAATATTTTTTTTGTACAAAATAGTAAAACCCAAGTAGATGAAAAAACTGCAGCGATACCGGAATCATTTGCGACATCTCCCCTCGACCAGTGACCCGTTCTTCTAAAAATTTCCTGCACAGGTACAGGTGCGGGGGTAGATACTGGTACGGGATTGAGAACCGTTTGTGGACCACTCGGTGTTCTGCGAACGGTTGTTTTTCCCTCATTTCGATGAAATATGGACACGAAACTCGGCACACAAGCACTGAACAGTCAAAGGACGAATTATATTGAAAGAAAATAGAAAAAAAATACATCGTCAACTTCATCAAATCTTGTGACACGCTTACTTTTGATGCGCGTCCTCGATTACAGGTACCGTCGGAGGTGAGGGAGGTGATGCATTTTCTGAAGTGGCACCGGGAATCGAGTCTAATGAATCAGGAGTAGCGCTGCGCGATCTCGTACCCGTGCTAGATACCTGACAAACATATTTGTTCACTTACTTTCGTTGAAAACTTAATCTTATTTATCTCAATATTTATTTTCATCAATCTTTTCACTTTGACAACGTACCTCTACATCTTTGAAAACGTCTCTAATGTCCGGTTTGCGAACACGCTGACGCTGATTGAAACGTTGCTTAACCGTGTGATTAAGCGATCGCACTCGACGTTTCACAGCTTCGGCTTGAGCTCGCGAGAGAGGACGCAAGGCTGCACCCAATTCTTCAGGTTGTACCTCCCTACCTGCTTTCCAAGCTTCTGTTAATTCCGCCAAACCCGCTGCGCGCAACCATTCCGCCTCTTCTTCTCCTTCTGTAGAAAAAAAATGAGATTCTTTTCTTCTTCCACATTGTTTTAACAAATTTTTATAATTCTTTAAAGTACAACAATTTACACATAATTAACAAACCGTCATAATTTCGTGGGCCGCATTCTTCATCTAGGTAATCCTCCAACAGCTTCGTCTCCTCTATCATTTTCTGATATTCCTCCCAGTATTCGAGTAGGTGGTTATCACCTCCTGCGTAGGTAGCACCGTGTCCCTTATCCATGTTTCCGTTGTTTTTTGTTTTCTCTTATATCTTTGGCGTGTATTTAATCAAAGAGAGACCAAGAGTTGTGAGACGGAAGCATTTAATGAGAATCTTGTTACTTCTGGAAGAGTATGTGTGTGTGTGCGTGTGTTTCCGTTTTGATATCTAAAAAGATCGTATTAATCATGTCACAAGCTTTGTTCCACTTATTACCTGATTCATGTCATTTGTAAACCTAATCTGGAATGATTCAGAGATAATCATTCGGAATCATTGCCCAACATAGGCTAAAAACGATATTACATATATAAAATTATCTTCTCGTTATAATACTAGCAGCTGTATAAAAAAAAAAAAATTAATTAAGGCTATTGCTGTAATTACAGAATAACTTTCGCCAAATACAAACAACAGAGATGTAGTTTCTCAAGTTTGCATCTTAAAAATAGTGCGTGTATTAAAAAAAAACACTAAAAGTCTGCAATCTTCGATTTATTTGTAAGAAGTAATTAAAAAGTAATTTAAAAAAATAATTTGAATTAATTTGAATTAATTTGAATTAATTTGACTTAAAAAAAAATAATTTTTTCTTTTTTATACGAAGATTCGAAGAAGAAATTTTTTGAGTAAATCAATCCGCAATAAAACAAAAAAAAATCAGAGTATAAAAATAAACGTGTGTAGATAATGACGTTCGCGCGATAGAGAGAGAGAACGCAAAACACGCGCGCACACACATTATCTTACAAAGAATTTCTCACACTTGCGTCTGAAACAACAATAACGACGTTTCATCACACACATTCCGCGAAACCGAGAAACTTGAGCGAGCGCGAAACCTTGATAAAAAAAAAAAAATCGCGTTTGTCGCGTTTATTTAATTAAATTTTAAACGAACGATCGCAGGTGCGATTTTTAACGCTCTCGGTAAACAGCGAAACGTCTCTAAACATTAAATACAAATAAAAACCGCGACGAGAGTGCAAAGTCGACAGTAATTTATTCACAACACTCCGTCCTTCTTTTTCGAATAAAACGAGACACACACCGTGCGCGACGCTTCGCTCGCGCGCGTGTAAACACGAAGCTATCTCTCTCTCTCTCTCTCTCTCTCACACACACACACACAAATCACGTACAACACATGTTTACCGAAATAACACCTTGACGCGACGAAGATAATGTTATTACGAATGTAACAATGTAATTTTACACGCGATCAACATAACCTCCCAATTCGCCGTTACCGATCCGCAACGGAGAGACGGTTTTTTTTTTTCATGAATGGAACACGGGCGGGATTCCTTAGCGAAGAACTCAGAGCGCGCGACGTGCGTGCACCGCACGCTCGGGAGAGAGTTTGTATCTAAACAGAGGAAGAAGGAGGCGAAAAGACACGGTGGTGAAGGAGAAGGAGGACGCGAATGAATTATTGCAATTTTCACAACGTACCGGAAAGAGAGAGAGAGATAGAAGACGACAACGCGCGTTGCGATACGCTTTTAATCCGCGCGCGGAGAAAACGCACACACACACCTCATACGCGCGAGACTCGCGCGCGTCGAATGCCAAGCGCGACTTTTTCGAGGCTAAGCTCCGCTTCCGAGAAGTCCTAATGTATTCGGCGCGCGACCACGCATCGGGATGGGGCGCGGGGGTGGGACGATGTGTCGTCGTGCGATGTGCGTGCACCTTGCTCGCGAGGAGGAGGAGGAGGAGGATACACCTCGCTCACGCGACGACGCTGCTGCTTGTCCTCATGTTTTTCCGAGCGCGCATGAAAACACGCCGCGCGTGGGAAAAGAGAGAAAAAAGAAAAACAGAGACGTTTCAAACGCGGCAAAACTCGACGCACACAACCTGTTGCGTCGCAACACACACACATATATCCATCGGCGATACATCTATCGCGCGTATGTACATATGTGTGTACATACATTCACGCGTTCGAGTGACACCTGCGACGCGGCAATTTCAGAGTTGCGGACGCCATCTTCCATAACAGAGACGCGGTAAATAAGCAGGAAGGTGATAGCGATTTTCGACGCCCCTGCCCTTCCCCGAGGTCAGTGTGTTTTGCATAATTTTCTTTCTCTCTTCTGTTATTTAACAAAATATTGGACGCATCGACATACGTTTTCGATTACATTCGTATACACTGTTTTGATCTTCAAAAAGAGATCATTGATGTAAAAAGAAAACAAAATACTCGTAACAAAATGTAGCGAAAGTTAATAAATTAACAATTACTAATAAATCGAGATTAATAATAAATTAACTTTCCGACGCGACAATGTTATGCGCCTGGTACACCCGTGCGGAAGTAAATTACATCGCACTTATTTCAATCAGCGGTAAATTTAATCGGTTCCGCTTTTTTGTTTCTTTTTTTTTTTATCTCTCGCAGCTTTGCAAACTCGCGCGCTGTTTATTTTCTGAAGATCAAGCGCACCGTAATTACCGTAACCGGGGTGAAAAAACACTCTGAGAAAAAAAAACGAGATACGCAAAAAACCTTGAGAATGCGACTCTCCTCATCGATCTCTCACGCGACGGGGCAAAAAACAATCGATCGAAACCGTAATAATCACGAGAATGCAAATTGCACACGCGTACGAGGAAGTTCGCACCTCAACCAACTAGAAGTAAACATGCCGATCGCGATATTGGCTTACGGTACTGTCGATGCGCGCGCGCGCGAACATCTCGGATGTTTCTGCGCGCTTACGCGCAGCGCACACATGTGGTGGTGCACGTACGTACACGCAATAGTTTTTCCACATAGAACGCGCTATATCGGGACGATACCATTCACCGATGCTACGGTGCCGCGCGCGTATTACGACGTGAATCATTAATTAACCATCGAGATCGAGAGACGCGCTGATTCTCTCTCGAGGTCGAGAACAGGTTGCGCGCCGAACGATTTCTTTCGCAGAAATCTGAAAACAAAACAAACACACATCGGAGGACGCAAAAGAGAAAACACCGAGAGAGATCTGAGATTTCGTATACGCAATCGGATTTTATTTATTTTCTTTTTAAATTTCTCAACAACACAAATGTGTTAATTAACACACAGCGAATAATAAACTAGACGCACTCGCCTTGTTCCCCGCCTTTCTCTTTAAAAAACACGCAAAAAAATGAAACAATACAAATGTCATTGCTGCGCAACACAGAGGCGCGCAAGCCGCCTGTGATAAAAATCTAAATTGTCGATGACACTCTCGGGTGAGAGACGTTCAACGTTTTTACAAAAGTGTTTGTTCTCGTTCTCTTTGAAAAAAAAAAAAAAACTCGCTTGAAACACAGATTTCGATTTTCTTCAAAATTTCAACATCTCCGCCCACAGAATGCAAATACGTTTCGTTACTATTTTTTTTTTTTTTTTTTTGCGTATAGAAAACATACGATTGCTCGCGACGCGAGAATTTTGCAATTGAATTCGTGAAACGCGGCAAAAAAAACATGCGCAGCTATCGTGCACCGAGTATCGAAAAATTATCACATCGATCCTGATAAAGACACGCAGGATGTCTTCCATATCTAACTTCTATTAGCGCGATTGCCCCATCCGCGACGATGCGTGTCCTTGTACTCGTCCATTGCGCGAGCGCGTTCGAGATACTCGGGATCGTCCGTCTCCTCTTTCTCTTCCTTCGAGATGTCGTCCTTCTCGTCGTTCGCTCGCGTGTTCGCCATGTTCTGCAGACACTGGGAACCCGGTCCGTTGTGCTTTGACGGATCGGGCCAGCTGAAAAGATAAAAAAAAAAAATCGTATTTAATCAGAAGCGAAACAAAAAACTACAATGTTCGTTTTTAGATTAGACACGCTCGCGCTTACTCTCCGTCCTTGATTCTCTGCTCGTAGAACTCCTGGACCGTCAAGACCGGCAAGCTCGGATAACCGGCTCCGAAAACTTTCTTCTGCACCTCGTCGCGCGTGATAATGATGGGTTCCAACTTTGGAGCGGGCGGTCTGTGCTTCTGACTCTTCTGCGATTCGTTAGAGACCAGATTGTGCGTCGGTCCCGTTTTCTTCATATTCTCCAAAATGGTCTTCTCTGTGCTCAACATGTTCAGTTCGTCCACTATTTGAACAGCGTGCAATTTAACAAGAGTGACGAAATATTCTCTCTTGATCTCGTCGTCGATATTCGGATTGTTCAGATTCTTCTGCAGAGTGTTCAAACGTGACTCCAGCTCTTTCTCCTGTTTGTATCTTTCCAATTTTACATTTCTACGAATTACCTGAGCGAGAAAACAAAAACAAAATATTGTGTTCAATCAAAACAAAAATAATTACCTGTTGCGCGCAACAATAACAACCGGTGTTTTGTTTCAACACAGACAACCAACCAACCATATCCGCCAACATCTGGGTCTCGCTCTTCGATCTGTTCTGATTGTCGCCCGTATCTTTCTTCTCGTCCGACGAATCGAGTTCGGGCGGGTTAACGTCGGTCAGACCGTACGCTTTCAATCGCTTCAAGAAGTCCACGAAATAGATTTCTGCCACTTTAACGAGATGCATTCTGTCATCGTTGCCACATATTTTGGTGGTAAGCTTGCCCAGCAGAGCTGGCAGTAGGAAATACTTGATGTTCTCTGTGGCCACTTCGTCGAAAGTCTCATTGTCGCTGAACATATCAACCACGGATACCAATCTCGTTGCGTCTTCAAACATACGCATCACCCGTCTTATGTCAGCCTGTAAAAAAATAAAATCACAAGACATTACAATAATTAATAATGCAACAAATCACGTAGATATATATGTCGTACGAGTAACAAGAGTTGGATTTTTTATTTAAAAAAGACTAATATGTTTCAACAATTTGCGCGGTGCACATGTACGTGTACGTGTACACACATGTTGGCGCGACCTCATTCCAAAAACAAATGTATTTTAAAACGAAAATACCTGTATTTTCGTACTGTTCGTGGGTTCTTGCGTGTTGTTGATGTTGTTGAATAGTTCAAAAGCCTTGTCAAATAATTCTGACAATGATTCCGTAGCGGGATATTTTTCGTCTTTCTCGCCGCTCAATTTCTGTGACAACACTTGGTCTGACATCGTTCCCGATGTGCGATTACACAATTGTCAACGTGGAATACTCTCTCAACTGTTGTTTGTAACAGTTAAATCACCGTATTCGCCGAGACGTTGAGGTTAAATCAGGAAGGTTTTAGTTAAAGGTACTGACGTGTATATGGGCGCGCGATGGTGGAGTAAACGCGAACCAAAGTAAAAATCAAGTCTGATCAGAAGTTAGGTTAGAATGGCGTTAAAATCCATTAACCAACGTTCCTTTAAAAAATGCGTTGCATCGCAAGATCGAGTTAAAACTCGAGAAAACATATCCCGGATGACGCGACAACAAAAATATATAAATTACACGAGAAATACTGATAAAACACCTTTATTGTTTTTTACACCTTACAAGCTATCGTACAGAATTAAAATACAGTTAATTTAGCTTTATTCTTCCTCTGATTCTGTTCCGCGACTATGCTCTTCTCGGAAGCTCTTAAATTAGTAAGCTCTTTTTGCGTCTCATTGTATTTCATTACAATGTTGTTGTAAAGTGCGCTACCCTTGGCGTGTCTCGCCATTGATTCTTTGAGTTTCGACGATTCCTTCTCCAATCGACTTATGTCTTCGCCGATCTGGAAATTCGCTACGTTCAAGTTTCTGATGGATTCCGTCTTGAGTTTGCCCCGCGAACTGTTGCCCGCGTCGTCTTTAGCTACAAACAATAGCGGATCATATGTATATATATATAAATTACGTGTAGGGGAGACTGGGGCTGATTGTGACACGGGTAAAAAGTTACAAGTTACTTTGATTAGTGATGAAAATTAAGTGCTACATTGAAGCCAAAAAGAGACAAACGCGACAACTGTCACCGCGTCACGCGCGTAATTAACATCATCGTTGTTGCAATTATTTTTCATTGCTAATTTAAGATTGTAACTTTTTACAACCGTGTCACAATCAGCCCCAGTCTCCCCTATATATTTTGATCGTTATAATACATCGCGTGTGTCTTTTTACGACTTACGTTTATCACCCAACGTTTTGTTTATGAAATTAAACACATTGCTCTTCTTGCCGTCCTCTTTGTCCTTCTGATACTGTCTCTCACTTTGTTGCTCGATTTTCCGTTGGTGCTTGCGCATTTTACGTTCAGCGGAAAACAAATCCTTGTCGCCGCCGGCAAATTCGCGCAATTGCATGCAATGATCTGAAGAACGAAATAAATAATCAGAATATTTCTATTGCGACGTACAATGCACAACATAGCAATTTGGAGAAATTCGAACAAACCCAATGATTTTCCTGCCGGTAAAATTGTCGCCTCTACAGGCTCAACTCTGCCGTCACCGCGTTTTCCAAGACCGGCACCGCTTACGTAACCCATTTGCATCATTAATTTGCTACCGATACCACGTGTGTGTTTTTCCCATTTTCCCAGAGGTTCGTCTGACTGTACCGTCAAAAGAGATTTGTGAACCGAATCGTCAGTCGACGGCGAGTTAGAATCGTCATCGTTCTCGTCGTCGCTATCGTCAGACGTATCTGACATTTCCAAATCTGCACTGTCTGTAAAGACAATAATTTTAGAAAGCTTGTACGAGAGATGTCTCAATTGGTAAGCGTGCAATCAATTTTAACACACGCTTACCAAGAGGCAAGAGATCCTGCAAATCGATTTCCATGATCTTGCCGCTGGCTTCAAATTTTATTCTGTACTTTTCCCCGTTTTTCTCGGGCATTTTCAACACAACGGACCTGTGCCACATATTACTCTTTTGCTTGGCCAATACTCTGCTTCCCATTTTAATGGAATGGAAATCAGGTTCTCTGCAAATCACGAAGTGATAGAAATCGTCTGTCTTTGATAATGCTTTCTCTTTAAAAAACAAAAAAAAAAGAAACAATTTACTTGTATTCCTTTAGACTTGAAAATGGCACAATTTCTCCGTGAGAATAATGACAATTTTTGTCGGAAAACTTGCAACTGCCATCAAGAAAATACGGACACGGAATCATCTCCTTGTGTGTGGGATTAAGAAAGAAAACTCGAACCTACTTAACAAACTTTGCAATTAAAACAAAGAAGAATTATACATATACTGTTAATATGATGATATTTTAAAAAACTTGCCTTGATGTCGTGAATGTCTCTAATCCCTTCTTCGGGATTTCTATGAATGGAACACACCATGGCATTGTGATATCCAATACCGCCCCAAGAACTGCCGTAAGAGGCTTTGCATTTCATACCTTCCAGCTCCTTCAGTTCATCCTACAATATCAATGCTGCACCGTATAATTGCGCTATTCTCTGCTATGACATAGAGAAGAGTTGTATACTGACTTCAATGCTGTCGGAATCCAGGCCAGTTGTGTTACTGTCCTGTTTCCCGCTTTCGTTATCATCCGAAGACTTTTCCAGTGCTGCCTGAATGGATTTAAAAAAACATAATTTAGTTACAGATCAAAAATGTCTCTTAAACATTACAACTTCACATACCACAAATATATATAATAATGCTTGAAAATTATGAAAATACTCTGCAACAGACTTAAATATGTGATAAACTGCTTTGAGACATATTGTTCAATATATTACAAGCCAGAGAGGAAGAGTAAAGAGATGTCTAGCAGTTCCAGCAGTAAGTAAACTTGGATGCGGAGGGGGTCGCAAACCACATCCAAGAGACACGCGTACCTTAAACAAGGCATATTCCTTATCCAATGGATCTTGGGTGTCGTCGTCAAAATCTTCATCTTCATTCGCGTTCTCATCGTTATCTCCTTCCAGACTTTGCAAGCTCTCTCTTGTCAACGAAATGAGTTCCTCGATGTCGGACTTCAGACTGAGAAGATTGTCTCTGTCGGGACCGTTTGGCGTAATTGACAATGTTGTGTCCACTTGCAAAAGCTGCAAAGGCACGTGAGTACAACAGCGATTAAACAGAAAAAACCAGAACAGACTTTTTACGTGTTACAAAATTACACATGCACACGCTTTGACGTAAAATTGCGTCACCGCACCTGAGTCTCGTACTGCTCGATAGATTCCTTCAAGCTCTTCGCGTCTGTCATATTGCGTCTTGTCGATTGCGAAACGAAGATAATCAATTACGTTAGTTATTAAGCTACATTAAGAGACACTGTTTTTTTTTCACGTCTATATTGACAGCTCACAATATTTACATCGGGAGAGATCAATTCCAAATACCAAACAGTACTGCCACTATGTCTCCCTCTCTTCACGTTCGACAGTTCCCTATTGTGTAATAGAAATGTTCCTATATAACCTAGAAATATCTCTGATTTTAAATAAAACTATAATAAATTTTTTTTATCACGCGCGAGTCAAAAAACGGTTTTATAACATCAGGAATGTTGATAATAACGTTTTTACATTCATTTGGTTGTCGTCAAATTGCAAGAGCTCTCAATAAGACGAATTAATAAATAAAAATAGGAACACACTTAGCAAGTGCCTCGGTAGCGCAGTAGGCAGCGCGTAAGTCTCATAATCTTAAGGTCGTGAGTTCGATCCTCACCCGGGGCAATTCTTTTTACAATTTTTTTTTTTTTATATTTATATTTACATTTTGTTACGGTTTACGGCAGATGTATTTCGATTTAGCTAATTTTTTTATCGATTTTTAGATAAAAAAAATTAAAAGAATTGAATTTTAATTTTTGTACACACAAGTAGAAGAAAGACAATTTATTGTTCTTGACATAAAAATAATGTAGATGATATTACTCCGGTTTGTTTATTTATTTATTTTTTTTTTTTTTGAACATTTTTCGACCGACTGACTGATGACGGCAGATTCACCGATCAATCGGTAAAATGGTGTAAGGGAAAAGTGATTCGCTTCAAGGAGAAACAGAGCATAAGAGACAATTATGCAAATGCAACAGCCACAAGAAGGACCCGCTGGCTCTTGGGATTGAAATGTGGAGGAAGTTAAAACGAGTTGTGAATTGTTCGCTTTTGCCCTTTAGCGTTGGCGCAATTTGCAAGCAAACAGCCCATTAAGCCGAATTCGCCTTAGGCGAATGTTTCTCAAAAGGAATAGTCATGCTTTTCGTAATATTTCTCGCATTATATAAGAAAGGAATAAAAGAAATCTTCTAAATATTTCTGACAAAATTTCGAGCGTAATTGGTTTTAGGCGCGCTGTGCAAATCTTCTGTAAAAACAAAAAAAAACGAAACAAAACAAAACAAAAAACAAATACAACGCGCACGCAAAATAGTTCAATTATTTGCGAAATCTTCGAACAATTTTCTTTGCGTCTGAAATAAATGATTGCGTAGAAACGAATTATCGACGATGCCCACGTTATAGTTGCTCCGTTCTCTCGAAAAATCCGCGGAAAATCTGAAACGAAACTCTTTATTCACACGGCGAAAGACTAAAAAAATCCCCCTCTCTCCCCCTCGCCCCCCCACGACGTTCCCATTTAGCGTATAAATTTTCACCGTCATTGAGACGTGTCATTGAATCGCGTCTATCTATGAATGATGCGAAAAAAAAACAAGAAACAAAAAAACAACAAAGAGAAGAACAAAATCCCGTGCGGATTTCGCGCGATCCCCCCGGAAAAAAAAACCCGCCGCCGCCGCCAAGTTTCCGCGGACTGATCCGCGCGGGCGGGCTCGAGTTGATGCCGCGTTGATTCAGGTCGCATTCACGGGTGCATCGCATCGGGTCCCGCGATGAAAAGGCGTACCGCTTTCTGAATATATTCCAATTAAAAAGTCGGAGCTTCGTTACACTCGGTCCACGCCCCCTCTCTCTCCCGCACGCCCTTCTCGTTCCCCGGCGCGAGGCCGGCGACCCCTTTTACTTCTGGCTTTTGCCTTTCCCGTCAAGGGACGGGAGAAAAAGAGGGAGATGGAACGAGAGAAAAAGGGAGAACGGAGAAGGATGGAAATCATCCGCGGGGGGGTTGCCCAGGATTTTTCTCCAGCAATTACTTCACAGCTTTTCCCGGCAAAGAACCCAGAAGCATTCTCGCGCATCGCTTTCTTCCCATCGCTTCTTTTTGCCTTTCTTTTTAGCGCGGTGTGTTTTTTTTTTTTTATCATTCTGATTATCAGTCCGTCCGCGTGCACGGATTCAAGTCTAAACGAGAGAATTTAATCGTCGTCTTCGTTCCACCGCCGAAGATAAGGTAAACATTTCGTTGTTTTTTTCGCAATGTGTGCGGCAACGTGTGATATAATCGAAACTTGCGCAAATCGATCGCGAAGAAATAACGAAGCGCATCGCCGGGGGGGAAGGGTTCAATTCACGTTGTGAATTGAAAATAAAAAAAAAAAAAACAAACAAACAAGTCGTGATGGCGAATATCGCGCGTGTGAAAGAAGCCGAAGAACTTCTTTTTCCGCGCACGTACGGATCCGCCCCCCCCCCCCCCGTGAAGTATTTAACGATGCTCGCGGCGCGCTACACGGAGAGAGACACACGAAAAGAGGGAATAAGAAGCGCGTGCCCAAGTGCCAACATGACTTACGCACGTATGCACACGCGTGTGTTCGCCCGACCCGTTCGTCGCGTTACAATAACGCGCACGTGGCCGGACGCGCGCGCGGGGTGCCACTTGTCTCACGTATCTCGGTAGGAAATCCTTACACGTGAATTTTTGATAAGAAACACACCATACCCCCGTGTGCGCGCGCGTCGAATCATCGCTAGATAAAAATCAATATCGCAAAGGTAATTCTCTTTTGTGTATTGTTTTTTGTTTGTTTTTTAGATTTTCAATGTTTATTTTTGCGTCTCGCACAAATGACATCTCTCTCTCTCTCTCTTTAGAAATGTTATTTTAAAGAGTTACTTTAATTGGATTATATGAAAGTAATTTTTTTTTAAACTCATTTAATTTGTTTCACCCCTTGCTGGAATATATTTTTCTTGACACACAACCGAGAGACACGTTCGACTGTTTATTTTGTTTTTTTTTTTTTTTCGGAGAGAGAGAGAGAGAGAAAACACACAAAAGAGAATCATTAAACGCGAGACAACAATCGCGAGTCGTCTTAGAAAATAATAAACGCCAGATGCGCGGTGTTCATTATGACGAAGTAATTATGCGTGAGAGATTTCCGTCGTCTTTTTTTTTTTTTTTTCCGCCTAACACAACATGGCGCATTGAACGTGAATAAGCGCGGGAGAGACCGCGCGACGGGCGCGAAGAAAGGGGGCCGCGGCGCAAGATTCTCTTCTTCTTCGTCCGCGCGCGATTTCGCATTCGCGGGAGTTGCGCGCGCGAAACTATGTATTTTCTCGTAGGTATGTACGTCAAGCACCACGAGGTTTCCCCGAGATTTACTTCGTTTCGGGGATACACTCTCTCGGGAAGTGTTGTTCCCCGCATTTTTTCGCGCTTCCTTCCTCTCTCGCTCGTGGCGAAAAAAAACAAAGGGGAAAACGCAACAGAATTGCGACGAAATCTCGACGACGACGACGACGCACTTGATACAAATCTTCTCCTTTGGGAAAAAAAAAATCTAGTTTCACATATTTATTAAATGTATTTGCTTCTTTACGTTAAAGAGTTTTTTTTTGACTCGCGCTAGTTTACAAAAATTAAATTAGACTCTGAGATTTTGACGGGAAAAAAACTTTGTATCGCAAAAAGACAAATAATTATATATATGTAAAAAAAAAAATATTTCTATTCAAGGCGAAATATGTGAAAGTGTGCGACGGGTTTTAAACTGCCTGACTCTTGACGGCTCGGTTTGATTTCCTTTGTGCGAACAGATTTTGGAACAAACAACGATAATAATCTTAACTTCGAATAATATGGCATACGTATGCTGTGTGTGCGATGAATGTGCAAGAGAGGAGATGTGTGTGTGTGTGTGTATTGTATAAGCAATTCAATTCCAATCAATGTCGTTCTCCTCGAATCCAAAGTCGTTAATAACACAGTAACATGTGCGCTCATCTAAGAAAAACTAATCATCCGTGTACCGATTATCTTACCGCAGGCTTCCTCTTCTCCCGGCCCAATTAGTGCGGAACATCGTCGGCGTGAGGATAATCGCAACAGTTGTGTGTCGTGTATTCTCTCTCTTTCTCTATCTATCTATCTTTCTCTCTCTCTCTCGTCGTTTCCGTGCAATTAGATCCTCCACACACGCCGATGCCAATACACAGTAGCGTACAAGTGTGGTATCGCGTTCGAATCACTTCAACATGTATCGATTTCACCCAATTACTCGTGCTTGGCCACGTGTCTATCGCGCCACGTGTGTGTACTTCGGCTTCTCTCTTCTTCACTTACGAAAAAAAAAAAACTAGATACAAACGTAAGATATAAGAGCGAAGAGGAAGTAGATACAAACGCGCACACGAGTGTTCGCGCTCGGCATCGATTTTTCGATCGAGTTGTTTTTTATTTGTTTGTAATTTTTTTTATTATCGTCGGAAGGGAGAGAGTGAAAGGTTTTTTTCGAGAGCGAAAATAAAAAAGCGTTGCGATCGAGACTTGGGAGACTTTTGCATCGGAGTTTTTTTTTTTTTTTGTTTCGATAATAATTTATTTTATCTACAAATAGAGAGAATTTCATTACTTCGAGAGAAAATGGTGGTCAATATTAGATTATCGACGACGAAGTGTGATATTATCAATGACAAACGCGAAATAAATTGTTAAAAAGGATTAAAATCCGATGGGCGCTTACATTTTATCGAACGCTGTACAATCTCGGTAATTAATACATTAATTAATTTCGCTCGCTCGCTTCAAGTCGAGATTATACATTTTTATCTAACAATAAGACGACGCTAAAGTGTAGCTATTTTGTAGTGTGGAATTAAAATCTGTGTGTGTGGCTAAAATATCCCCCCCGTTGCGCGTAAATTGTTGCTCGCGTGATACCGTGATTTGTGTATCAGGTCTACCGGAAAGTTCCGTCCGTTTTTTTGGAATAAAACAAAATACAAATTTTTCTTAATTTTTCAAAACTGGGATATACAAATTGCCCTCACGCTGGCAAGAAATCATCAATAATAATGGCAATTATATTATTTAATAAAGTTTATTGAAGGTAAGAAAAATTTGTATTTTGTTTTATTCCAAAAACACGGACAGAACTTTCCGGTAGACCTAATATATATATTATATACAGCGCGAGATCGCAGCCGCGACTCTTGTTCTCTTTCCTTCGTGTGTGACGAATTAACTATATATATGTTACTTTCTTGTCTCTTGTCTCTCTATCGTCTAAAAATGAAATATCAACGTCCATCTACAATTTTCACGACAGACGTCGCGTTATATTACGTTTGCGACGCGACGCGATAACATTGGTAGTGATATATCGATTATTACACACAAATTCTCTCTGTCAAATCGAAGAGGAGATGCGAGAAACGTCACTATCTTCTTCTTCTTCTTCTTCTTCTTCTTCATTACCGAACTTGATCTGCGAGAAAAAAAGCGGCTACGACTACCGACCGACTCCGTAATTACATATTTACACACTTTTTTATGTTAATCCTTAATTAATATTCAAACGCCCGTTATACGTAAGAAGAAACGCTGAAAAAATCCGAACTCTCTTGCTCTCGAGCGCAAAAAAAATATCCGCAATATATCCTACTTGCTAAAATATATTCAACGGACAAGCGGAAACGGTAATCAACACGGAACTTACTTATTTCGGAGATCTTTGGTTTCTCTCTGCTTGTAACAATTTTCTGAACGCGCACAAAGTCAGGCTCAGGTGTCATGTGACGAAAATAGATGAAAAAAAGAAAAAAAATGTGTGTAAAAAGAAATTTACAACGCACAAATATTTCGAATAATTTTGTAACAAATTTGTGTGATTCGTTGAAACAAACGTGTGTGCCGACCGACTTCACGTTCTCTCGTGAAAAATTCGGAAAACGCGCAAAAAAATAACATAAACTACCGTTTGTGAGAGAAACACTTTTTCATGTTAGATTACGGCACTCACACGACACAAAGTAGTTCGTCGAAACTGTTTCTTCTTCGGACCTCTCGAGAGCAGATATATATATATAAAAACAAATATACCGCGCTGATAAAAATTCATCTCTTGAGATTGTCTTCGAGGTTGAAAGCGGGTTAGAGCGGACATCCGTGAACGTAGGTGACGTTTCGGAACAGAGCGGCCGCCGTCGATAGAAACGCCGCCGTGGACGCGGTTGACGGTGCCGGCGGCGGCGGCGGCGGCGGCGGATGGCCGCTGGTCTGCGTTTGTGCGTTGTAAGGCGAACAATAAGCGTCAATGTTGCCGTGATGCAGACCCACGCTACGCACCAGAAGATCCTTCTCGACGGTGGCTTGATGGCGCAGCTGCTCAAGTCGCAGCTGATTCTGTCGCTTCCATTTCGTTCTGCAACGATTCAAAAAAAAATTCGCTCGTTTTCCTTAAAACAACTTTTCACTCTCTCTCTCTCTCTGTGAATTGTGTGATCTCCGATCCGAAAACTTTTCGGCGACTGTGTGTGTGTGTTTTTTTTTTTTTTAATCTAACCTTCTATTTTGGTACCAGGTCTTCACTTGGGTCTCCGACAGCGACAACGCGTCAGCGACGTCGCTGCGATCCGCCACGCTTAGATACTTCTGGCAACGAAATTTTCTCTCGAGGTAAGCCAATTGAGCGTGGGTGAAGGCGGTACGTCGTCTACGTGGTTTCCTACCGGTCGGCGCCGCGCTGTTTACGGTCACTCCGCAGGATTTGCCGGACGTGGTCGCAGGACCGGGCGACGGCGACAGAGCCGGCGGAGGACTCCCAAGACGCGTGCAGGGACTGCTTCCGGGATCGATGGTGTCCTCGGAATCCGAATGTACGGCCGAATCGTCCTCGGACTCTTCTGCAGCATATTTTTGCGAAGCGCATATTTTCAGGAATAAATAAACGATCGTTGCAACGCTCGAGCAACAATTGCCGAGTGATTGAGAAGTATGTAATGTAAAATTATAATTTTGTTTTATACTTTTTTTATAGGGGGGGGGGAGCAAAACCACGGATATAAACGGTTAACATCGGCGTCTCGCGAAATCTCCAAACTTTAAATATTTTACTTCTATTTTCTCCTCCGCTTTCGTTAAAATCATCATTTTATTATTAATTTTTTGTACAATCAGTGCGCGATAAGTGAAAATGAAAGACCAAATAAACCAATATCGTTATTTTCGATCGAACGCTGTTTTCTGACTGATCCGATCAGCGCGTGGACACGAACGACGGTGTCGAGCAAAATCTATTAACGAAACAATAATTCAACAGCAACCTCCCCCACGTCGGATTGTGATCGATCTCGGTTAGTGCAAACCATTTCAATTAGCGGGACCTGCTGCACCCTCTCAGGATTAGCCAATCAGACTCGCGATGTGACACGACGGGGGGTAATAATCTTTCACCGGCTAACAAGCCCTAACGAATCTTTCGGCACCTCGAACCATCTGTAGAATCGTTCTTGATGGGGCACCACCGTCTCCGAGGGGGTTAGTCACCCCGCGTGGTGGGGCCCTACACGCGTAGGATACGATTTAAATAATAGAAACGCGCCACGGGATTCCACTTTCTAACGAGATTCTGGCGATTCGCCATGCGTCGAAAAAAAAAAAAACGCTGCAAATCTCCTCTCTCGCGAAATTAATAAAAAAAATCGTGGGATCGCGATTCAAGAATCTATACAATTATATTTATACCGTTAATTATTTTCCGTTTAATTTTTTGTACAGATATATTCTAAATATAAGTCTCGCACACAAAGTCGACATTGCATCTTTGTATAAACACGAGCAGCAAAAATAAACAATAAAGCAAAAGTTTTATTAAAAAATCGTTTAGCGCCAATTGTCACAAATTCTAAACGATTTGTTTTTTGGCCATCCACTAAAAAAATAGTTTCGTTGAGATTAACAAATTTTGATAATCTCAACCAAAATTTGGTTTCCAAAACACTTTATTTAGTTTGATTTATTAAATTGTGGTTATCTCAACAAAACTGTTTTTTTTTTCAGTGTCGGCTTAGTTAAAATAATCCAAAAGTAATTGTTCCAACGTGTTTTTTCACATTAGAATAAATATCATTAGTTAATCTTTACAAAATATATTTATTTTTATTTATATTTTTATTTTAATCCTAATATATATATATATTGTTTTTTATAGTGCAGTAATCTCGACTCTATTCTTGTCTTGCCGAACCTTGCACACTTTATCAGTAAAGATACCTTGGACTCGATCGGCCAGCACGTCCCCCAGAAGGTCCCTGATCAGAAAAGACTTGTGCTCCTGCATCATCGTCGTCGTCGTCGTCGTCGGCGAGATAAAACCCACGACGTGTTCGTGAATCAATCGTCAATTATCAATCGAAATTCTATATATCCGCAGCGACGAGACAACAACAACAACAACAACAACAATAATAACAACAACAACAACAACAACAATCAGGCGTGACGATTTCGCGCAGGAAACCGCGTCGACACACTCGCGTCACAGGAAGATCCGACTTTCATACTATCGCGCGGACGCTCGGCGTCGTTCTGCGTCGACAACCGACGGTCGTCGTCGTGGCTAACCGGAAGCGTCTAGAAACCCCAATATACACCCTCGTTCCCGTGGTCGACACGACGATAGCACGCGAGGCAAAATACACGAGAGAAAGAAAGAGAGAGGTGGAGACGCGCAGAAGAAACCTGAGCAGGTAGAACACACACACACACACACACATACACGCACACATATACACGCGCACGATATCAAGGGGGGATGATATACGCTCGCGCATATCCTACCGCGTGCCGCAACCCCCTCGAATTAATCCGCCCGTTTATTTTGAACGGGCTGCCTAATGCCCGCGCGATTTCGCAGCCATTTTGGGGGTGGAAGCGCCATGCTCACCCCTCCGCGTCTACCGACCGCCTCGCTCCGATTGGTCCGCGTCGGTCGACACGCGGTGGCGAAGAAACGAGATCCCGGGTTTGCGATTGGTCGGAAGATGCCACAGCCAGTCCTTCCTGTGCTCGCGATCCGGTTTATCTCGGTGCACGCTTTCGGTTTAAGTGGATCCGGATGAAGGCGCGAGGGATGAACTCGGTACCTCGGTTGGAAACCTCGTAGGTGGGGGAGTTGCAGAAGAAGAAGAAGATGAAGAAGAAGAAGACGAAGAAGAAGAGAGCTCGAGAAGGAAGAGGGTAAGTAGAGGCAGGGAGGGAGCGAGGGGAGATGCGGACGCGGGGGGAGGGAAAAAAAATCATTGGCGAGCGATTACTGCGAAACGAGAGGAACAAATTGAATGTGAAACTTTTCTGCGAGCGCGCGCGCGCGATACAACCTCCTCCCCCCCGCGCTTTCTATGATTTCAGGCGCTTGAAAAGCGGATACTCGCGGAGTTTCCGCTGTTATCGAGTCGCGGTTGTGTGTTCGCGCTCTCTCGTTGGGTTCATTAGGAAATTCCGACAGAATTCGCGGCAACGTCGGGACACACGGATATAATATATATATATACACACCATCTCGCGATAGGTGAAATGTTTATTTTAACATATCAAAGTGTGCGATATTATACGCAACAGAGAAACGTTAGGTCAGAGAAGAGAGAAAATATGTTTATCTCTATTTATTTCGTTACAATAGATAAAAAAGAAAATAGAGAGACGGAGTTTTACATTTACACGACATCAGGCCTTTACAAAAAAAAACTTAACGATATATTGTTTAATTTATAAAAGATTGCGAGAGAGAACGTTGAACGCTGATGGTTGATTGTGAAAAAAAAAAAACAAACAAAAAAAAAACACCATACGAGAGATCAATTCCGCGCGACGGAATATAAAACGGAAGGGCGATATGCGTGCGGCGGAGATGCGCACATATCGGCATTTCCATAAATACGTTCTTCGCAGAGAGAGTTTGCAGATTTCGCCCGCGCCTCATTCACCGGTTCGCCAGAAGTAGTTTGCGAGTGTAAATATGCATGATGTATGCAAGCTCCGTATCTCTCTCTCTCTCTCTCTCTCTCTCTCTGCCTGTGCTCTTCTTCCTTCGGGAGAAAGCGCCACAGCTTTTCTCTCCTGCCCCTTCTCCCCCCCCCACCCCCCGTTCTCTCTCTTCTCTCCATTTCGTTTCCTACGCGCGCGGGAAGGAAGAGCGCACCGTATATATACCCCGTTAGTCTATTCACCGCGCCGCCACTTATCTCTCTTTTAAGCACCTGCCGACATGCGGCCGCATAAGCGTGCGGGGTATACCGGGTAAGTATATACGTTTGACGGTGACTTGCGAAATCATCCATCGGGTTGAATTCAACGACGCGCAACGTCGTCGCCGAGAGAGAGAGAGTGGTACGAGAAAAGTGGCGAGTCCGTAACGGGGTGTGTCTCACGTACAACGTCAACGGCGGAATATAAATATATTGTACTTTGTACAATGTGTGTTGAAATCGATAATATGTGTGTCATCGCAAGAAGCAGATGATAAAAGAAGTGCCGCTCTGATAAAAAAAAAAAAATTGATCAGAGATATACAAATCGTGCGATGAATTTTTCCATCGGCGAAAAAGCCACGCGAGAGAGAGAGAGAGAGAGAGAGAGAAAACAATTTTTTCTTATCCACACATCTTTAAACACTGTCTCTTCTCTTCTGTTGCTAATGTATTAAATAAGATTGATGACCCGAGACGGGACGAGATCCGTAATTAAATAACAACACCACCACCACCACGGTCATTTCGATAATAAAATTTTTCGCACCCATATCGTGCATCGCCGATCCTCAAATTCCCCAGAAACGCCGCGGCATAGCATTAATTAAGGCTCCAATTAATTCTGATCGCTCACGCGAGCTCACCTTGACGCCAAGTGGCGAAGCCATCAACGGGCAAGATGCTCAACCCTATCCTCTCTCTTATACGGTCCGCGCCGTACGTATCCTCGTGAAACTCCGCGTCGCGTGGCGTTGCATAAAAAAGCGTCGCTCTCTCTCGTCGACGAAGTTAAAGTTTCCGTCGCATGTCGGAAATCGACGCTGCTGGACGTCGCGTAGCGCGGCGACGACGACGGCATATCATTTTTAATGGCGACGACGACGGTGTCATTGTGCGCCGCACAAGAACGAGGAAGAGGACCCTTCGGGTTTGTGTTCCCCCGCGTAGCGCGAGCTACGGTGTCTCCGCTGCTGAGTCTTCGGCGCACGCGTTACGGAATTCATTAGATTTCTTTTTTTTTTTTTTTTTTTAACGTATGCGGCAGATTAATTCAAGGGGCAGCAAAGCGGCCAGGCGCCGCTCCTTCATGGGCGCGGGAAAAGGGCGCCGAAGAGGATCGTCGTCGAATAAATGCATACCGGGAGACGGCATTAAATTGAGGCGAGAAACAAAGGGCCTGCCCTTCCCGAAATTCTCGTTAGAGCGGCGAGAGCGTGACGCAACTTAATCGTCGTCGTCGTCGTCGTCAATCGAGGCGATAAAAAAAAACAACGACGGGAAACAAAATTGACGATCGCGACGATAAAGCTGTAAAATTGTTTTTTACACGCATATCAGAGAGAGATAATGTTTTTTGTTTATATATTTTATAATAATTTTATACACCGAGAAAAAATAAATCTCTCAATTTTGCACGACGACGATTTCTGTGTGTGGGACGATGTCTTTTCACGAGGAGGAAGATATTTACTTTACCTAGACCGACGCGCATATTATTGCCACGAGATTACGAGAGATAAATATATTACGCGGTAATAAAAGTGCAAGAGCAGAATGATGAAGTTCATTCCGCGTTCGTTTCCGAATGAAGACAAATTAATGGTAATGAGAGCGCGGAGAGACGGAATTAGATACAGAAATCGTCCGCTGGGCTGATCGTTATCAGCAATTTGCGACATTTGCGATCCCTCATGATGAGAGATCTCATCTCTCTCTCTCTCTCTCTCTCCGGCCTGTGTCTGCGCGTTTGTGTGTCGCGCAAATAGGATTTTGCTCGAATCGCTTTCCCGATCACACGAGGGTGATCACCCCGGGAGTAGATCCCGTAAATCAGGCGTGTGTGGGAGATGCGATTCTCTCCCGGCCGTGTGTGACACAATTGAGCTACAATTTTTTTTACACACACATTACGTACCGCTGAATCGAGATAGTTTTTTTTTTTTTTTTTTTGTATTTCTTATAACATATATTAAATATATTAAATAAATATGTAAAAACATATCTCGTCACTCCCTACGTCATAATCCCGCAACTCCGAAACGCAAATTTTAGAGGAGAGCAGTTTAAAAGTTTAAAAACCTTCATATAGTTTCTCTAGTTAAGGGAACTTTCGGTTTTAATTTTTTATCTTACTTGTGAATATTTTTTTTTAATATTTGGTGACCATAAAGAACATGACTTTCTGAGTGTCACTATGCAATAAACTGAAAATCTCGTATGTGACACTTATGCAATTATACGTAGGGAGTGACGATCTGTTAAATATATTAATAGAAAAATTCATTTAGTTTTATTTTATTTTATTTTTTTTGTTTTTTTTTTTGTCTAAAATTCAAGTCGAGCTTTTCGCGAGCGCTCGCGAAACGTTTGAAAAAATGTCTGTCGATGATATACGGCTGGTAACTGATAACAATAATGGGGGGCTTGGCGGCGTTTGGTTGACTAGCTAAATGCGGATAAAGAACCGCGAAGAGGATCATGGCAAAACGATTTAGAACAGAAGCAGCAGGCAACGAGGGGGGGGGTGGCCATCGAGCCGCAATGCGCGGGAAGAATCTCGAAATCGTTAACAATCGCGGCAAGCGCGAGCGGGATCCATTGATGTGCGACCGCGCGTGTGAATATAACTGCCGAGGTGAAGTTTTCGTATGAAGCGGCATAGCGTCCAGCCCGCGTTTCCGCTTTCACGGAGACGCACAAAAAAAACCCTTCCGAGTTTCAAATGAAAAAATATTGTTTATGTAAACACCGCGGCAAAGAGAAAGCGATTCCGTGCTCTTTTCAACATAATGTTCCCCGATTTACTTACTCCGCTCGCCATTGTTCCATCGGGAGGGATGGATTTACGAGATAATTTAACAAATTTAAAAAAACTTGCCGCGCGCGTAGCAAATAAGTAATTGAAAGCAATTTTTTTCCTACCTCCGCGTAGGTAGAAAATATTTGTTGTTCGCAAAAAAATTAGAGATGCGCTGTTGCAATCGAGATATCGTGTGTGCGAGGAATCGAGTCGTTGTGCAAAAACAAAAAGCCTCCCCCCCCACAGCGAAAATCCACTCGCGTGTAATTTTGAATGAAAATTGACGAAAAAATCCGTCCGTCTACCGCATTTTCGAACGTTAATTCAAATAGAACTCCGCTGTTTTTTTTTAGAAGCACGTTGCGTTTACCGCAGCAGCGGTAGATAAGACCATAACTACGTAGAATGTGACTCAAAAAAAAAAACCAAAATTTTGAAAAGTAAAGATTGCCGGTTTCGCGCAACGACGCCACCTCGTAGAGTTGCTTTGTCACCAAATTTCACATTTAAAAAAAAAAAAAAAAAAAAAAAAAAAAAAAAAAAAAAAAAAAAAAACGAAGCGATCGAACGTTTTCGCAATTGCGCGTTACCGCGGAGAATGCTCTAATTTTCCTTCCCGAAAATACAACACGGCATACCCGTCGCTCTCTCCGTGCTCTTTCGTCACCGCGTATACGGG